CAGTGTTGCCAGACGTACGGTTTGTATCGTACATGTACGATAATTCAGGCTAATGTACGATGTACGATTATCGTACTCTAAAATACGATAATCTGGCAGGGTTACCAGATTGGGCGGTTTACCGCCAATTGGGCTATTTAATAATTCCGAATTGGCGTGTTTGGGCTTTTAGGTTTAAACATTTTTTATGCTGATTTTTTTTTTTTTACAAAAATATTCAATTTAAAAACACTGCTATCTATCCATCACCATCCGCGGTCTAAATAAATTGTTGACCTAGAGCCTCTGACTGCGTACTTTCCCAATTGTTGATAATAAATTAAATAATTGATAACAATAATAACATCTGTATACTGTTGGCTGCAGGCGCGGCAAATTTGAATTTTACTTTTATATTATAATAGTGAACTTAGTACCTGACCAACACTTATATTTATATTAATATTTATATTATAAAAGAGAAGAATATCCAAGTATATGCAATTTAGCTAGTCAGTTACCTAGAATAATATGTGAAAATCAATTTCAATTAATAGAGGATCAATGGAGACAACTTCCATTAGTTAATATATCAAAAGATATAATAAAAGATGAAGATCCCGATAAATTTTGGACGTATCTTAAACATTTAGAAAGTGGGCAATTTAGTGAACTTGCTTCATTTTGTTTAAGCGTTATGTCTCTTCCCCATTCCAATGCACAATGTGAAAGAATTTTTAGTAAGATGAATAGAATTAAAACTAAGTCAAGAAATAGATTAATTACTTCAACTGTTTCCGCAACCTTAATGACCAGTGAATGTATAAAAGAACATGGTAGAGGTATTTGCGTCGATTTTGTGCCATCCAAAGAAATGTTTGATAGAATGTGTTCAAATAACTTATATCCTAAGACTGATTTAATCGATACATACGATTTTATACTAAGAGCCGTTTTATCAATCACCAGTTAAATGTCTAGTTAACTAATCTCAGTTAATTACTAACTGTAGATTAAAAATATTATGATTTTATCAAATATCTTTATACTAAGATTAACTATTCTAGCGTATAACAAACCGAAGATTAATTAACTACCGAAATGCATTGATTGATGTTAGTCACATCAGTAAAATGAAAATGTTTCTAACTTCTATCAATGAATTGTTATCTTTTATCATGATATATTTATTTTGAGTGATACGCTTACATTATCTGACATATTTTTTTCCGATCTTATGACGTTTTCAGTTAACAGTTTTTCACTTTTAAAAATATAGAATATTAGAATACTATTTATTTTATATGTTGTCGTGTTGTATTTGTTAGTTTTGAGTACAATTTTATTACTATGAGTTTATTAAAAATTAAACGTGAACGCTCCACAAATTTTATTGACGGCGAACTGCAACTTCTTGTCGACCTGGTGGCTAGTCAAAAACATATTTTGGAAAACAAAAAAACAGATGCCGTAACAGCCAACCTAAAGAATAAAACTTGGGAAGCATTAGCAAATAAATTTAATTGCAAAAGCCTAAATGGATATCGTAGTCCAAAATGTTTGAAATTAAAATATGAAAATTTAAAAAAAAATGTAAAAATCAAGTTGCGAGATGTGAAATCAAAACCCTGTGTAACAGGAGGAGGACCTCCAATTCCATTAAAAGCACTCAGCAAATTGTCCCCTATGGAAGAACAACTAAGATCTTTGAACCCTCTAGCTTTTAGTGGTAAAGTGTCAGCATTTGACAGTGACAGAATTGAAGATCAAAATACATACAGTCATGAAATGCTTGTACAGGATTATGAGAAAACTGACAGTAATGTAAGTAATTAATATTTTGATTGATTCGTACATTATTATTATTACAAATATTGTTAATGAATTTCAATTATAGTGTATGGATGAAAACATTCTAGAATTTGATTGTCAAGAAAATAATACTGATGTTAGTTAAATTTGTAAAATACTTATCTGCTTTTTAATTGGATTAATACATTTGTATACCTAATAAATTGTTTATTATAAATCATCAAGGGATTTCAAGAGTCATTTGTCCATACTTCTGAAAAAGATTTTGATGTTGGTGAAGATTGGACAGATTATACACCAGCAAAATTGAGAACGCCGATTTCTCCAGAGCTATCATCTACAACACACCAGAAAAGCTTAGACACTCTGTATTCACCTAATATATTTGCTATCTCTGATGCTGGTTCAGATGATGAGTTAAAAAGTGAGAAAATAAATATATATATAATATATATTATTATTATACTATATATTATAATTTATATTATATTCTTGCTACTTTAATGTTAAATATAGTAAGAAACCCTCAAGAAAATCTGAAATCTAAAAAATGTTCTGCTTATGCAAAAAAACAAACAAGGTTAGTTGGTTGAACATTTTTAAAACCAAAATCACAAGAATAATACACATATTAGTCAGATAACTATGTTCTTATATTAAACACTAATCGAATACAGAATTAAATATGTAATTACAGTAAATAGTGTACTATTATTATGATTTGAGTTTCTTACATAATTTAAAATATATTTGTGAAAAATGCTTGATAATATTAATTACCTAGCTTGTTCATTAAATTTGTGTTATTTGAATTTATATTGTATACGGTTTGTCCCTCTAGCATTATTAATACTAATAAAGATTGGTCATACGCAGCCAAAACTAAAACTAAACTTATGCAATTAAAAATAATGCTGTTGGAAGAAGAACTTATTTTTAAAAGAAAAGAAAACGAATTGAAATTAAAAATTTTAGCTGCTGAATTGGCATCCAAAGAAACTTAAGTTATTTAAGAAAATTGAATTTATCTTAATGTTATAATGCAAAAGAAAATATTGTTCATGTTAATTTTATAGTTAAAATAGTAAATCAATTTATGTCATTAAAAAATAAAAGACTGTTTAGGTATGTTAATTAATTTTATATTGTTCATGTTGATTAGTTAATTTTATAGTTAAAATAATAAAGTCAGTTATAATATGTCAGTTTATAATGTGTATATATATAGATTATATTTATATATCAATTTATAGTAACAAAGAAAAGTGAATTTAAAAAGAAAAGACTGATTATATATTATAATAAAAAAAATAATTTTATAATAAATGATTAAAACTATTGATTATGTACAGTTTACATTGTACACATAATTTAAGAATGTTAAATGTTGACAGCAGTCAGATTGTTAAAATATATTGTAATAAAAAATTTTTAATTTAATATATTATTATATTTTTAGTAGTTAAATACAAATATTTAATGATAATAAAGTCATAACCTCATCATGGAATTATATCAAAATACATTTAAAACTAATTTTACAATTAAATCTAGTTGTAGATTATACACTTAACACATTTCACCAAAGTGTCTATTAATCAAATTCTTTCTTGTTCTATCATTTGCATTATTTCTAATATTATCGTTAGTCACATTATTGTTGACAGAATTTACTAAATTGATTTGTTCTTGAATTTCATTTGTAGTAACTGGTATTTTTTCTTTTTGTAGAATAGCAATATTATGTAATACAGCAGTTGCTACAATAATTGCTTCTACTTTGCTTAAATCCAAACGAATCCCTAATGATAATACCGGAAATCTCCTTTTCCAAACTCCATAGGATCGTTCAACAA